TCAGCCAAAAAATAGTGCTGAAGGTAACCGTTATACGTACAAGTGAAGAGTATAAAATAGAAAATTATTTGTGTTTGCAAATTGTTTGTTTGCAAATGTGAAAAGTTCATTGTTTTTCGACAGCAGTATATGAGCAAAGTGTCCACACAGTTTTCGCAGACGCATGACAATTCTTTTGCAGTAAAGAATGTAATACATGTGTAAACGGATGCGTGCTACTCTACTGTTAGGGCGACAGTTACCAGTTATTTATTACTGTATCTCTTAAATCATAATTGTTTGTCCTGAAAGTAAATAAAAAAAAGAATTGTTGATAAAATGTGAGAGAAGTTTTGTTTTTTGTTTTTTACCTAGACATTTATTCGTGTAAATTAACAGTAAACAGAAAACAAATTTCCACAAATCTGTAAAAAAAAATATAAGGATAAAGCAGTTTTTGCTAATATTCTTTGGTAATTACAGCAGAAAAGTTGACATAGTTAAATTGAAATGGAAAACGCATTAAACAATTATATATTCACTGAAAAGGGAGTTGCATATACGTGCTTTTGATATGACTCTCTTTACCTTACTTTACATTTGATATAAAATGATCCAAAAGTATATTTCTTATTGTCAGCTTTAGATTTTTCAGTGTTTTCACTGAACGTAAAAACATAAATTCTCAAGGTCAATTTCCTTATCTGTCCACCATCTAATTACTACATAATATAAATTACATGATATATGAAAATTTCAACATGCAAGAACTCTGAAAAGAATTTGCTTTTATTCTTACTTATTCGCTTTCTTACTTATGTTATTTCTGTATCAAATATCCAATATCATGGACTACTTTATCGTGTCTGACTTCTCCTCTGGGTTAATAGTAACAATAAGACATTTGGGAGATTATGAGAAAATTACTGTGCTATGAATTTTAATGTAAGGGTATAGCTTTTGTGAAAAAAACTTTGTATACGAAATGTATGATAAAATGAAATTACCGTACCATAATAGATAAAACTGAATCTTAATTATAAATATATCCTCCGAGGGACGTCTTAAAGAAGACACAAATCTCTTCATTTAGGAATTAAATGCGTACAGGATTTATACTTGAAGAGACAAGAATCGAATTAACGAAAGATGGCGATCTAATTGATATCGGAGTAGCATTTCACTAATGCTTATTATGTACATTTGTTAGCAATTAGTATTTGTTTTGTTTTTGTTTTTTTCCTGCACCTAGCAAACTTTATATTTAAGTAACAGTTATGTTACTGATGAATACCTAATGTGCACTTGCAGAAGAACGTTAGTATTTTACTTGTTATATACTCATATATACTCATACTTTCGCATTTCCCTTGTCTTTCCTAGTGGGTCTGCTATAGTACTACCATTATAACGTCGCTATAACGCAACTGTTAATACTAGTAATGTCACTGCCACTTCTGCTAAGAATGTTATTACTGATAATAATTGTTCATAACACATCATATCCACTGCTGCTCTGCTGTAATTGCTAGTAACATTGTCGAAGATACATAGTACTATGGCACAGTCATATTTTATACATTTATTTTCAACTTCAGGTTATTATTCGTCATATGACCATGCAGTAGTCGCTTGTAGACCGTATTATCATATCCTGCGAATAATCTTAAAACGGAAATAGTAAGCATAAAAATGCAGCTAATAGCCGGTCTATACCAGGAGCATTTAACCCGTTTTCTTTCACCATTCAGCTTGACACAGTATAAAAAGAAATGTAAAAAACAACTGAGATCTGAAGTAGAATCCATTTTTAGTTCTGCCATTACCACGGGAAAATCACTATGCAGCAAGCGTTTGGAATAGCTCTCTCTCTCTCTCTCTCTCTCTCTCACTCCCTCTCTCTCTCTCTCTCTCTCTCTCTCTCTCTCTCTCTCTCTCTCTCTCTCTCTCTCTCTCCTCTCTCTCTCTCCTCTCTCTCTCTCTCTCCTCTCCCCGCCCCTTTCTCTCTCTCTCTCTCTCTCTCTCTCTCTCTCTCTCTCTCTCCTCTCCCCGCCCCTTTCTCTTTCTCTCTCTCTCTCTCTCTCTCTCTCTCTCTCTCTCTCTCTCTCTCTCTCTCTCCTCTCCCCGCCCCTTTCTCTTTCTCTTTCTCTCTCTCTCTCTCTCTCTCTCTCTCTCTCTCTCTCTCTCTCTCTCTCTCTCTCTCTCTCTCTCTCTCTCTCCTCTCCCCGCCCCTTTCTCTTTCTCTCTCTCTCTCTCTCTCTCTCTCTCTCTCTCTCTCTCTCTCTCTTTCTTTTTTTCTCTCTCTATGTATCTATCTATCTCGTCCTTTTTTTATAAGTACCACGCATCACAAATACCTCCCTTCAGTTTGCGATCGGTTGATATTCACTACCCATCCCTTTGCCAGACTTTATTTTACAATCCTCATATTATCAAAATAAACTGTATCGTCTGCGAGGGAAATGGTAGACAGAGACGTTAGATATTAAGTTGTCAAGAATACCTTTGGCAGCACCATCGGCTCCTTCCCGCTGATTAGTAAGTGATTTTGTTCAACAGTGAGCAGAGCAGATAAATTTTAGTAAATGGAATGTTTTTAACAGGTAAATGAAATCGACTTGTGTCCGAAATCGAGCTTCCTATTCGTTTATGTGGGTCAGTGTTCGATACTGTGGCAAAGGCTTCAGTTATAGATTTACCTTTATTGTTTATGTGATTTGTGTGATTAGGTAATGTGCGAATAACTTTTACTGTCATTAAAATTCACCACCTGATTCTTCATTTGATAATAATGGAACTACCAAGAACAGATCACCTATTCATTACTTTACACACCTCTTTACGTCAGTAGATAAAATTAGGAATTCACAGAAGCGTTTATTTAACTTCTCTTTCCTCCCCATAGACGGAGGAGATTGTTTTTGTTGGCGTTTGTTAACTTGCATTTATCAACTTAATTTCTTGGGGGACGCCGTCCAGGATTAAGGTAACAATGTTGTGTTAGTTAAAAATGTAATATTAAAATAAATGAAACGACAGGACACATTGAGCTCTATCTGTCTCTATCAGTCTATCTATCTCTCTGTCTGCCTCATTTCCTTTCCTCCACTCTTTTTCCTCCCCTCTCTCTCCCCTTCTCTCGCTCTCTCTCTCTCTCTCTCTCTCTCTCTCTCTCTCTTTATATATATATATATATATATATATATATATATATGCGCGCGCGCGCGCGCGCGTGTGTGTGTGTGTGTATGTGTATGTATGTGTATTTGTAAAATAATCGAAAGACGCAAATACACACAGCACAGAGAAATATAATAGAAGCAAATGTATGTCATATACATATTGAGCTCAGGTGTAGTTGGCAGCGCAGGTAGCTCTGAGAAACATTGGCAGGCACTCTGATCTCCCTCGTGACGTCATATCCTTCACGCCTTACCTCATGGAGAGGAAGTTCCTTCTTCCATCATACAAATGAAGTAGAAAGCTTTATGTGAAGAAATAAAGGTAGGTTGCATAAAAAAAAATGTTAATAA